CTTGTCAATTTATGTCATGTCAGTGAAGAAAATAACGGAATGAATCTGAACATTTTATGTTTAGTGGTCGTTACTCAATTATTTCACTGCTATTCTCAATCGTTAACATGTTTTATTGTGTAAAATAGTGATGTATTTGTTTTCGGAATAATTCTACCATATAAATTTATGATGATATTACCGAAAAACTATGCTTCGCTTGTGGATCAACAATTATTGGATAATAGTTCTCACCACCAGCACCAGCGTGCATTATAGCTAAATTACAACCAACCACTCTCAGATAATATTAGTTTTATTGAAAAGAAAGTACAATCCACCAGTAGACAACAATATGTGCGAGCTCACTGAGTGCCGCATACGCTAACGTATACATGCTTGTGCAGGACTGTGTGTATGTCTAGTGTGTACGATGCATACCTCACTTACCAGCATACGATATTCCTCGAATATATGTTTTGTGCTGACAACGATCAGCAAACGTTCTCACTCAATATCGATTGCAGTGAGATGTCACAACAGCGTAGTCTAATTAAGAAGGTAAAAGCTAGCTGTTGATTATAATCACTTGCAAAAAGTTAGACTTAAAGACAGGCTAACAATTTACTAACACTAGCTCTGACGTAATGCTAGCCGGTCCGTTAGTGATTCATAGCATAGCGTTAAAAGTTGATGGTACCTAATTCACGAGATACCCAGATGCTTTACCGAGAAAAAGCTCTTCCTTAAACATGACAATCAGTCACCCCGAAGTACATTTAAAATAGAAACATTTCAAAAAACTCAAGTCAAAATGTGACTGGTTAGGTTTACATGCTATCTATAAAGGCCATTAAAGTATGGACAATTCAGATTATCCTGTGAATGAAATTCAGCTACATATATCAGCCCAATGTTACATACCACCTCCTCTGCTGAGGGTCTGTTTCCCTAAATTCACTTTAAATCCTCCACCTGTCCTTCTTCCTCAGGATCATTCTATGGTGGCTTCGATGCATTCTTATTCTACTCTCCTGCGTTCCCTAAGTGTCAGGTTATAGGAATGGAATGATAACCCTTGAGGCAGCCATTCTACTATGCCGTGGCCAAGTTGCAGCAGGTACGAGACAGCTCTGTCTCTGCTGGCTTGGACCCCTCCCAGCAGTCAGACATTGCTTCAATTAAAAAGAGTACCTTGGTCACTTGATAGAGCTCACTGAGGCTAGGCCTGCGTGCGTTCTGTAACAAAGACTCGCTGATTGCAAGCTCGCCTCAGATGAGACAGCAATCGGGCCGTCCAGTCATACACTTCAGAAGGCAAACAACTTGACCACATAGCCGTGCCCAAACGGCAGTTGCTTGAACACTGAGTTGCTGCTTTCCTTACTCTGAGCCTGGGAGTCTTAGGTAGTAGCTCTGATACAAGAGACAGGGGCAATGAGGGGGGTGGCAGTAAGAGGATGTAAGGGGAGGAGGAGTGAGGAAGAAGAGGAAGATGAGGAAGAGCACTCAGTGGTACCAGAAGTAAAGAGCACCCCCTACAGAACAACAATGGGGAACACATGGCAGTATCACAATGCAGTACTGGTGGTGGGGCAGAACCACCAGATGGAGAAGACGACAAAAGTAGAAGTACATCTATGCTCTTACCCCACCCAGAAGTCTATGAACTTTGTCCGATTCTATCTAGAGGACAAATGTCGCCTTCACTGGATAATTGCAGGCTAAAAAATACCAATGCGTTTTTAATTGTTTTTTTACATTTACATCTGTGTCGAAAGGTGTTGTCATTAAGTTACGTGCATTCATATGCTGCCCTTACTGTGTAAAGCCAGATGTTATCCAGTAAGGTTGTCACCCATTGTCCACATGAATGTAGTTCGTTTCCTGGCCATAGCTAGGCACAAACAGTTCTAAAAATGCTTTAAAGTGTTGTTTTCTTTGCACCTTTTATCTGTTAAAATTTTCACTTCATGTCAAAAGTTTTTGTGCTCTGTTTTCTGACGGTTTTTCTTCCTTGAGGAATAAATTACTAGGGATGTATTTTTGTAGTTGGTAGCATTCAGTTCAGTTTGAATCCCTTAATTATTACTGTATAAGTGACTTTTGATCTCAGTTCCGAGTACGTGGGAGTCATTTTCTAAGATATTTTCCCTTACTTAAGATTTATCTCAACGGTGAAGTGGTGTATGTTTCAGAGCTTCAGAGAGTTCGTTGAGTGTGACCTCAGTAAATCTTGAAGAATAGGCTCGTCCTGCTTGGCTCGGCACCGAGGACTAGCATCTGCCGGTACCCAGCAAAAATCAAAAGGTATTCCACTTAACAGGGCCAGTTTTGACGAGGTTAATTCCACAGTAACAGAGTTTTGGCAGCTAAAATAAACTTAAGTTGTTGTCAACTTGTCAAAAAACTGTGATACATACTTTTCCGTGGAAAATTATTAGCACAATCCTTCTCGATTCCACATTACACAATAAACAAAAACAACCAAGACAATAATAGATTTGAAATGATTCCATGTTTGTACTGTTTTGCTGGACTCAAATTGCTTCCTCTCACTGTATATTACATGACTGTGACTGTTCAACACTGTGAACGTTTGACTCAATGCGTGATGAAAGACGCTTCGTAGAGCTGATGGTGATATTCCGCCTTTAAGAAGAAGGACGACCCGCTCTCTCTACTCTGTAACCTGGACGGACAGCAGTAGATGGAGATGATGTGGCCTATGCAAAAAGGTCTGTGTCTGGAATATGTGTTGCCATTGCCAGCACAATATCTGGAGTTAGTATTTGACAATTTTGCCAAAGACAAGCTGTGACCTGCGTGTGTAAGTTCTTATACAACTGTGTGGGAAAATTGAAGCTTCCGTTGCTTAGATGGCCCCTTATTCTGTCAAACATAGGCCAACTTAAAAAAAGTACATTTTTCATCCTTATCAAACGTCTACTAACCGTGTCTCTCCTTTTATTTTTCAAAACTTTCTTACCCAACAGTGCTATGTGACTCTGTGTGTAGAACCCACATTTTGTTAAATACTGTGAATTTGGTGGGCTGGGAGGCACATACCAGAGGGTATCGAGATCCAAGCTCCATGCTCAAAATGGGCACTATGAATATGGGAAAGGTAAGTGGCAATTGATGCCATAGCTACATTAACCTCATTTATGTAAAGTCACAAGTCCATAGTCATTCTGAATTAATGACTTCAAAAATTTTTTTTTTGTACACAGTGTTGTGCTTTTTATGCTGTCTTATAGAACAATACAAGCATGTGTTCCTGCTCCTCACTCTGCTCTTTTGTGCCTCTCAGCCTTTAGGAAAGATGCAGGAGGTCGCAGTCGAGTAGAGCCAGTCATGGCAGTGGTCCTACCCAAAAGGTCAGTCTTCTGGACCAGTGTAGCCGAGTTAAACCCAGGCAGCACCCAAGAGCAAGAGCCGGCAAAGGAGGACACAACGGCCGCCCAAAAAACGCAGGAGAATAGCTCGGTTGCCAAAGGGGCGCGCCACACGTGTCTTTGACTTTGCTCACCACAAGCTGGAGGCCAAGAGAGCACCCATGTCCGCTGAAGGGGGGCTGCTGCCTGGGCCTCGCAGGGATGGAGTGGAGGCTTACAGGGGAGGGGAAGCACAAAGAGGAATCTTGAATGTGAAGCTGTTTCCAGTGCTGAGCGGGTTCTGTCCCAGACAGAGAGGAGATCCAGAAAAAACTGACTGTATGTCACATCACAGGCACGGCAGGGCAGGTTTAGTACCGAGTTTAACCATTGTCTCATGTTTATATTTGGCTCATAAGACTCCCTGAATGAACCAAGGCTGCATAGAAGCCCGTTAATTTTGCCAGTGGAACCTCAGCTTGTCTCTCCACAGATGCTCAGGCAGCTGTGTATCTCCTCCATGGCATATCATACTTTACAAGAATAGCAACACAATGTTCAACACTCTAATTTATGTCAACATGCTACACACACACACACACACACACACACACACACACACACACACACACACACACACACACACACACACACACACACACACACACACACACACACACACACACAATCCGAATGTCGCGGTTATGAACACTCCTCATACTCTGTTATCTGGAGAGACAGGACACACAGATGCACAGTCCCTATAAAATTGCACTGATACAAGAGAAAAAACATAATAATCTCACTGCTGAGTAGCTACAGTTTGAGCATTTGTTACAACATGTTAAATTAAAGTAAAGTAACAAGGTATAAATACAATACAGACAAATGCCATAAGAATATTTAAATGATTACAATAACCCAAGTCCTGTATGTTAAGTAATAAACCTCATTATAGGGATGCATCGATTTGAATGGTACTGGCTCTGAGAATGGCCTTATTAAACAGACTGGGTATTGGCCATGAGGTGATCACATGAAGTGATGCTGAATAATATAACTTCTCCTGCTGCTTTCATTTTTACCATAATCAATAACAAATTCCGATTTTTACGCTCGATATTTTCATGTGCACAGAATTGGAATTGGATAAATAAGCCACTTGATGGCTTACTCTATTTAGATCGATAGAGGACACATTTCTGTCTGTATTTTAAGATGATAGACAAGAGTTTCTCCTCCTCCTTTAAGAAGCTGTGGTTAGTAGTGGTTTGTCTCAGTGGTGAATTGACATTTAAACTGATACAGCTTTGTTAAAATACAGCTGGTAAAGGGGCAATCTCACAAAATCTTTTTTAAGTAGCCCCACATTTCAATCTCGTTACTGTGGGCTTTGCACCTCCTGCCAACACATACTGTCACCCAATCCCGCCATGAAACTATAAGCCACTATGTGCTTCTCACAGTGGCCAAAGTCATGTAACTCAAGATCATCATTGTTTTTCAGATATTTTTTTTTTTTTTTTTTTTTACACATGGGAAGAGGATGATGAAAAAAAAAAGTAGATAAAAAGATTTATAAAAATATTACATGTATAACCACTAGCTTTTTTAGTTATTAGTTAGCACAGCTGCAAACATTACCTGCATCAAGGCTTTGGAAATCCTCTCCAGATGTGCAGCCGAGTTCAGCACCACAGAGACGAGTGGTCCCAGGACTTTTAAATAACCCAGAAACACATTGAGGACAAACAGTTTCTTCTGGTCATCAGAGGTCCTCATCAGTCTGGGCAGGGAGGTGGCCAGAGAGTGGAGATTCTCTGAAAGCACGTCAGTGAAGGTCTGAGGACTGCTGCGTTGACCGGTAACGTCACACTGGCTGCTACAGCTCCGGTTCCTCTGTGATACCTCTCTGAGAACAACCTCACACCTGGAGCAGAGGAGAAAAGAGGAGTTTCAAAATACACCTTGTATAGATTAGTTTGGGCTTCGTTCTTTTTCCTCACAAAAAATGTCAATTATAAAAACAGACCTCTCTCTGACTCTGGGCTCCTCATCGTTGACCGCTCCCACCAGTGCTTCCAGTAGCGGCCCCACACACTCTCCTAGTGACTGACTACACCTGGCCAGCAGGTGGTCAGCCAGCTCCACCATCTGCAGCCGAACCCTCCAGTGCTGGTGGGCCGAGGTGCAGGAGACGATCTTCTTCAGCAGCTCAGACAGTCTCCCCACTGTGCTCTTCACCCAGTCCAGTGTCCGATGGACCACCAGCTGCGCGATCCTACCCAGGTCTGGTGAGGGAGTCTTCCAGGGCTCACTGGCCTGAAGCTGGGCATCTTCCATGACAAGCCCCACAGTCCTGGACCAAACCTGAATGAGATGATGTGGCAAATCATTGCATTGCATTTGTATAAGGATATGATCACCATTTATCTTACTTCACAGTTGTGTGGTTAGTTTTCCATCACCTTGCACACAACCTGTTATCCTAGCATGTTAGAGAGTTATTCTGTAACGTTCCAAATATTAATGCGACGACTATGATAACTGATTAATTATTTGAGCCAAACAATCTTGTAGCTTGTGAAATTACAGGATTTGTTGCTTTTCTGTCTTTTATTGTCATTGTAAATTGAATATCTTTTTGTTATAGACATCATGGGTCATCATCAGGTCATCATGCTGGGCTCTGGGAACGGGTAACTGTAAGTTTTTACTTCTTTCCAAATTTTATAGCCCAGATTATTCAGGCCAATGAAAATAATCCTTACTTGAAGTTAATAGTACATAATAATAACTATGACATAAAACATCCATGTATACTTGTTTGGAATTCAGTCAAAACACATGACTGAATACATATTAAAAGCTAAGAGAGAGAGAGATCGACAATACTGCACCTTGATGGCCCTGACTGTGACTGCATGGCCTTGTCTCAGATCTCCTGTAATGATCCTGGCTACAGCCATAGTGATCCCAGGTAAGAATGAAGCCATAGTGCTGCCTATAGCACGCTGGTCCTCTGATGATGGGACTACATGCTCCTGAGTGCAGTCACACTGCAGAGTCAAAGCGAGGAGGCACTTCAGCGCTGCTGCCTGTACATCCCGAGATTTCTCCTTCTCTCCTAAAGCCAGCAGCAGTGATATGGCAGCTCCCAGTCCGGGCAGCATGATCGGTTCAAAGAGTCTAAAGACTATATCACCATAAGCAGCATGAAGCAGGGCGTCCAAGCACCTCAGCACAGCTGATTTTAGCTCCTCTGATGTATCTGCAGGTTTCCCAGGATCAGTTGGAGAGCAGAGGCAGAGGCAGAGTTCTGAGAGGAGGTCATGGAGGGTGTCCCAGCTCTGGACACAAGTGTTCTCCAGGACATGGCTCATGGCCTCGACCACAGCCTGCACCAATTTGTCCTTCTTGGGGCCGGGGATTTTAAGGACAAAGCGAAGAGGGAAGAGGACATACTCTTGGAGCTGCTGCAATGTGGCATCGTTGACTTCCTTTAATTGGCCACTCAGCGTCTCCACGTTGGTGACAGAGGGCTCTCGGGTCAGCAGGACACAGGCCGGACGCAGGTAGGCAAAGGCAATCTTTGGATCACTGATCTGAGCCATGACTGGAGGCATCGCACCAGGGGTCACTTTAGTGAGGGAGCATGGAAAGAGAAATGAGAATAAGACATCTATTGGATCACTGTGCACAGAAACTGAAATGAATGTGTTCTTGGAGCTAAAATATTTTGTCTTTGTGATTAAATCCCTAAAGGTTACCTGCCATATTAACTGGTAACTTTCTAAGATGACATTTCAAAGCCTTATCCAATCCAAACTTTTAACACTGAAAATCTTTCTGGGTGGTACCCAGCCCCTCCATCTCTAAATGTTGCTATTCCCCTCCCAAATGTTGGCAAAGGCAAAGGAGGAAGCCCCTGATAAGTTACTTATTTCCATGTCATCAAAATTATTGATGGGTGTGGTCGTTCTTATGTTTTATTATTACCTTAAACTCTGCAGAATCTGGATTTAGATTTGTAGTTAGCTAGGTTAGCTATATACAATGCTGTTTTGACGTGTTGTTATTAACATCAATCATTTTCCAGTAGTGACAAAAAACATATATATATTCCAGTTAAGAACCAGACACATCAGAAGAGCATGTGTGTAGAGTAACAGGAGAATACCTACAGCATCAATGTGGTCTGTTAGTTAGCTGACAGCATCCAGCTGCTGAAGGTGCACTGCGGTACGAGCGACAACAAACAGGCAGCCTATCTTCACATTACTGCTATTAAGGCAACACACTGCGCGGAGCAATAAGTTCAAAGAATTATTTTTATTCCAAATAGAAAAATTATAAAGCCGTACACTGATGAAGTTAATGAACTTTCGGTAAAGGAAACGTCATGATCCTGCGTCGACGACGCACATGTTTGACGTAAAGCACGACTTCTGGTTTGTCTGTTTATCTTCAAAATAAAAGGGCAAAATTTTCGTGTGAAAGAGAAAAACTTTCAAAAACCTATCAAGATGTGTATAATAAACACTTTGTTCGTCGCAGAAACATGTCAATTTTGTCATGTCAGTGAAGAAAATAACGGAATGAATTGAACATTTATGTTAGTGGTCGTTACTCAATTATTTCACTGCTATCTCAATCGTTAACATTGTTTTATTGTGTAAAATAGTGATGTATTTGTTTTCGGAAATTCTACCATATAAATTTTGATGATATTACGAAAAACTATGCTCTTGGCATAATTTTGGAAATTAGTTTCACACCAGCAAGCTGCATTTAGCTATCAAAACCACTCAGTCTGAAGATATTAGTTTTATTTTGAAAGAAAAGACAATTCACAACAGAAGACCAATTTTCACTCACTTCCGCTAGCTTGATACATTTGTGGCTGTGTTGTTCTAGTGTGTACCTGTATGTAGCTATTTGAATTATTTATTTTCTAAACGTAGCAAACGTTTCTCACTCAATCATCGATGCAGTGGATGTCACACAGGTGGTCTAATTAAGAAGGTAAAGCTAGCGTTGTTATAATCACTTGCAAAAGTTAGCTTAAAGACGGCTAACATTTAGCTAACACTAGCTCTGACGTATAGCTAGCCGGGTTAGTGATTCATAGCTAGGTTAAAGTTGATGGTACCTAATCACGATACAGATGCTTTACGAGAAAAGCTCTTCCTTAACATACAATCAGTCCCCGAAGTACATTAAAATGGAAAACATTTCCAAAACTCAGTCAAAATGTCTGGTAGTTTACATGCTATTATAAGGCCATTAAAGTATGACAATTCAGATTATCCTGTGATGAATTCAGCTCTATCAGCCCATGTACTACACCTCCTCTGCTGAGGTCTGTTTCCCTAAATTCACTTTAAATCCTCCACCTTCCTTTTCCTCAGATATCTTGGTGGCTTGATGCTGTCTATTCCTGACCTGCCTGGTCCCAAGTGTCGGTATGGATGAAGAAACCCTTGAGGCAGCCATTGCTACCTATGGTGCCCAGTTGCAGCAGGTAGAGACAGCTCTGTCTGCTGGCTTGGACCCCTCCCAGCAGTCAGACTTGCTCAAATTAAAAGAGGACCTTTGTCAACTGATAGAGCTCACTGAGGCTAGCCTGGTGTCTGTCAAAAAGAGTCGGCTATTGGCCAGCCTCGAGGACAGCAATGGCCTCCAGTCATACACTTCAGAGGCAACAACTGACACAAGCCGTGCAAACGGCAGTTTGAACACTGAGTTTGCTGCTTTTTACTCTGAGCTGGGGGAGTCTTCAGGTAGTAGCTCTGATACAAGAGACAGGGGCAATGAGGGGGGTGGTGGAGTAGAGGATGAAGGGGAGGAGGAGGAGGAAGAAGAGGAAGATGAGGAAGATGCACTCAGTGGTACCAGAGTAAGAGCACCCTACAGAACAACATGGGGAACACTGGAGTATCACAATGCTATGGTGGTGGGGGCAGAACCACCAGATGGAGAAGAGGCACAAGTAAGAGTACTCTATGTCTACCCCACCCAGAAGTCTATGAAACCTTGTCCATTCTATCTAGAGGACAAATGTCGCTTCCTGGATAATTGCAGGTAAAAAATACCAATGGTTTTTTGTTTTTTACATTTACATCTGTGAAAGGTTGTTGTATTAAGGTTACGTGTTCATATCTGCCTTCTGTGTAATAGCAGATGTAATCCAGCAAGTGTCACCCATTGTCCACATGATGTAGTTGTTTCCTGGCCATAGCTAGGACAACAGTCTAAAAATGCTTTAAAGTGTTGTTTTCTTTGCACCTTTTATCTGTTAAAATTTTCACTTCATGTCAAAGTTTTTGTGTCTGTTTCTGAGGTTTTTCTTCCTGAGGAATAAATTACTAGGGATGTATTTTGTAGTTGTAGCTTCAGTCAGTTGAATCCCTTAATTATTTACTGTATAATTGACTTTGATCTCAGTTCCGAGTACGTGGAGTATTTTCTAAGATATTTTCCCTTTACTTAAGATTTTCTCACGGTGAAGTGGTGTATGTGTCAGAGCTCAGAGAGTTCGTTGAGTGTGACCTCAGTAATCTTGAAGAAGGCTCGTCCTGCTTGGCTCGGCACGAGGACAGCATCTGGTACCCAGCAAAAATCAAAGGTATTCCACTTACAGGGCCAGTTTTTGACGAGGTATTCCACAGTAACAGGTTTGGCAGTAAAATAAACTTAAGTTGTGTCAACTTGTCAAAAATGTGATACATACTTTTCCTGAAAATCATTAGCAAGTCTTCTGATTCCAATTACACAATATAACAAAAACAACCAAGACAATAATAGATGAAATGATTCCAGTTTGTATGTTTTGCTGACTCAAATGCTTTCTCTCACTGTAGATATAGACAGTGGTTTCTACACTGTGAAGTTTGACTCACTGCTGATGAAAGACGCTGTCGTAGAGGCTGATGGTGTTATTCCGCCTTTGAGAGAGGACGACCCGCTCTCCTCTGACTCTGACCTGGACGACACAGTAGATGGAGATGATGTGGCCTATGCAAAAGGTGTGTCTGAATATGTGTTGCCATTGCCAGATCAATATTGGAGTTAGTATTTGACATTTTGCAAAAGACAAGCTGTGACCTGCGTGTAGTTCTATACAACTGTGGTGGAAAATTGTAAGCTTCCGTTGCTTAATGGCCTCCTATTCTGTCAAACATGCCAATAAAAAGTCATTTCTTCCTTACAAAGTTACTAACCGTTTCTCCTTTTATTTTCACTTCTTACCCAACAGTTATGGACTCTGCTGTAGAACCCACAGTTTTGTTAAATACTGTTGAATTTGGTGGCTGGGAGGCACATACCAGAGGTATCGGATCCAAGCTCATGCTCAAAATGGGCTATGAATATGGGAAAGGTAAGTGCAATTGTGCCATAGCTACATTAACCTCATTTTATGTAAAGTCACAATGTCCATAGTCATTCTGAAATTAATGACTTCAAAAATTTTTTTTTTTTGTACCAGTGTTGTGTCTTTTTGCTGTATATAAAACATACAGTCATGTGTTCCTCTTCCTCACTCTGTCTCTTTTGTCTTCTCAGGCTTAGGAAAGATGCAGGAGGGTCGAGTAGAGCCAGTCATGGCAGTGGTCCTACCCAAAGGTCAGTCTCTGGACCAGTGTGCCGAGTTAACCCAGAGACGCACCCAGAGCAAGGCCGCAAAGGACGGCACACTAACGGGCCGCCCAAAGAAACGCAGAAAGCCTCGGGTTGCCAAAGGGGGGCGCCACACTGTCTTTGACTTTCTCAACCACAAGCTGGGAGGCAAGAGCACCAGTTCTGCTGAGGGGGGTGCTGCTGCGCCGTCAGCAGGGACTGGAGTGGAGGCTTACAGGGGAGGGGAAAGCACAAAGAGGAATCTGAATGTGAAGCTGTTCCAGGCTGCTGAGCGGGTGTCCCAGACAGAGAGGGAGATCCAGAAACTGACTGAGTCACTCAGCAGGCACGCAGGCAGGTTAGTACCGAGTTCAGCATATGTTTATATTTGGCTAATAAGACTTCCCTGAATGAACCAAGGTGTCATTAGTAAGCCGTTAATTGCAGTGGAACCTCAGCTCCTTGTCTCTCCACAGATGCTCAGCAGCTGTTATCTCCTCCATGGACATATTAGCAACAATAGCAAACCATGTTCACACATATTTATGTAAATGCTTACACAACAATAATTTATTGTGAAATATGAGCACTAGTTGCGATGATGTTCCTGTCAAACAAAATGGTTACTAATTGGATTTCACAAATAAGGAGGACTGTGGGAGATGTGTGAAAATGCTAATAAGGTGTGAAGCGTGGAAGTTAGACACTTGTTTCCGTGGCCAACATGCTCTGGAAAATGCAGGCGAAACCAACTTGACTCCTCGTCTTTCCCCACTTCCTAATCTATTTGTTGTTTGTGTGTGCAAAGGGGCACATCCACAGTGAAGCAGCTGGAAGAGAGGCTGTCAGCGGCCCGCCGGCTGCTGGCCCAGCAGAAAGCCCAGGAACTGTCCATCCAGAGAGAGCACAGGAAGGCTGACACACACAAGAAGATGACTGAGTTTTAAGCTGAGTTCTCTCAAACACTTGGTGGATAAAGGGAAGCGCTGCTTGCCTGAAATGAACTTTTGTCCTTTGCCTGTTGTCAGTTACTTGCTCCACTGCATTTTAAGGCATTTTTTTTTTTTTTAGTATTTTTTCTCACCACATTATGGATTTGAGCTGGCGGTGGAGCCCACTTTATGCAGAATGGATCATTTCTGTTTCCCATGTATTTTTCATGGACTGGAGAAGTGTTCTGTTCAGTTTTAAATTGTACAGTTCACAGATTTTTATTTGTAATGAACATTTTGTATTAGTGTATATTTCCATCACTAAAAGACCATGTGTTTGGAGAAGCCACTGTGCATTTTCCTCTCTTTTTTACCCATACACCTTAACACAACTAAACTCCACTGTAAAAGCATGTTTACCACAGAATATTTAATGTTACACTTTTCTGGGAGAGGTTTCAATCATTCTGGCCAGAGGCTGCTCTGACGGTGAGTGCGGTACACCTTGACTTGGATGTCGAATGGTTTTGAAGATACAACCTTGGGAGTTGGTAGACCTTTACAGAGTTTTGATGTGAAGCCCCTCCATTCGCCCACACCTTTTACCGACTCATACACAGCATCTTTGAAGCTACGACCATAACCTCTCTATTAAATAATGAATTCAGGGAGCAGCTTGTCTGCACAGAGATCGGACACTGTAGGCGGTGGACGGGGTCGGGCAGTGACTGCATCCACCTTGCTGCCTTTCAGACTCTCAAGTAAAGGTTGAAGTCGTGACGTTGGGTAGCTTCGGATGAGGTCTTCGTCCTTTTCATGCCGTCCTTCACGAGATTTTTTTAAATCTGAAATTGACGTGACATAATAATAGAGCAACATTTTTAAAAAGAAAAGAGAACTCTAGTATTTCCTGCCTGCATTCAACCCTTTTTAATGACTACATCCACAAGAATCAAGCCAGCAAAAAAAAAAAGAAAAAGAAATACAGAAGTTTAGTGAGAGCTGGAGTCCATGAAAGACAGCTAGAAAACCAGAGACCAACAGCATGTGGCAGTGATTGTGTTGTCCCTAAGGGGGAAGTGATAATAAATACCTCATGTTAAAGCAATAAGAACAGCAGAGAGATACAGTGCACCTTGTGAGCCGTCCATGAAGTCTCTGGCTGGACTGCGGCGGAGCAGAGGGCAGCCGCACATGCAGAACTCACAAACCCTCCACTCGGTACCCCGAGGGAAAGCCCACTCACGCTCTGATCTGTTGAGTGGCAGCACTTTTAGATTGCTAGTGACTGGAGGGATCAGACTGAATTTGCTGATCGTTGGGGAAAAATGGTGAAATGCGCCATGTGTGTTGATTTAATAGGATCCCTCGGGGGGTCTGTACTTCACGCTTTAGCCCATTTATGAGCCTCGGGTCTAGGGGGTATTGCTGCTCAGCCACTAGCAGATTTGTGTTTGTGTGACAGTGTTCAGGTCCAGGTGTGTACACACTCCTCCTGCAGACATCTGTCTCATGTATGGATTCAGACTGGCCTGTTAGGGGAGTCTTAGCTGCTAACTGGCACTTCATCAGAGCCTGGATTATGTGATTAAGGATGTGTGATAGGAGAATTGATTGGGAGGCCACCATGGCAGATGTCTTAGGAATTCATGCTGTTGAACTAGGGGCTGCCAGGCTAAAGGGGTTGGCCTCTGGATGTGTGGAGCATGGTAAGCTGTCTAATGGTGTTTACATGGCTCTCTCTGGTACAAATTTGCATCTGATATTTACACACAGCATCGTCTCGTTGTGAAAATTGTGTTTACTATCCATCGATTTTCCTGTCATGTAGAGTGGCCTCGGAAAGTCGTAAACGCCTTCACTTTTTTCACTCTCACTTTTTTGCTCTGTTGTAGACAAAATGTGAAGAAGGTTTTGATGAAACAAACTCAAATCATAATCACTGAGCAGCTTTCTCAGTTTGTTCAGTTGTCATGGAGATGGATCCGTTGACAGTTGCTGTTGCTGTTATGATTTCACACTTTGTCCTCAAAGTGGTAGCTCACAAGCTAAGCGTGAAAGATCATTCTTGATCTTGGAAGTGGTGGTTAGAACAATCTTTATCAGCAGAGATTAGTGTGTTAGCATATGCTAACATTTGTGCTTAATACAAAGGCAAGGAGACGGATGGGAGTGTCATTCTTTTTGCAGACAAAAGTGTTTGACAAGTGAAGTTTTTGACTTGACAGCGGTAGAAGGAAAATAACAGGATCACCGAAGTTGAAACAGTTCATCCCAAGGGGAACGTGAATGTCTGTGCAAAGTCTAATGGAGTTGTTGAGACATTCCCTTCAAAGCAGAAAAGCACAACCTCATGGTGGCACTAGAGGAAACGTCAGGGCATCACTGAAGTCAGCAGAATACTTCTTCTGAGAACCATGAATGTCTGTACAAAATGATGTGTCAATCCATCTGTTAAAGGTTAAAATATTTCACAGAGTGAAAACTAGAGGAAGAAACTGGGGACCATGAATATCTGTACAACACATCCAGTAGTTGAGAGAAAATTGAAATTAAAATTGTCATGTAGGACACATCAGTTGGTTACTAGTGGAAACGTTAAAGCATTTTGATATTCTCAGAGTCTTGAGCCACATTCGTATGTGGAAATGAATCAGAATGGACTTTTATCTAAACACACTGAGATTGTTCAGGTCATTATAATTCGCTTGGAGTGTTCCTCTTCTCCCCCTCAGTGGTGTTTGCCAGCTAACGGAGATTGGAAAAGCGCTAGTGGAGCACTGCCAAGGGCTACAGGCACCTGCACCTGCCCTGGCTGATCTTAAAGCCCCAGAGCTGAGTTCCAAGTCTCGGCCCCAACCTCAACAGACCCTCGAGCTTGAATTTTTATTTCTGTCGTCTTGTCTGTTTTCTCCCATTGCACACAGCAATTTGAGCTCATACAGTAGATTAGGAATATGTGTAAAGTTACACATGCTGGTTGGTTTGAGTGTAAACAGGAAATAAGTAAATATCAAACACAGCTCCCTCCTTACATGTGATCTCAGACACAGTTTTTCAGTTAAAATTTTCACCCTTTTTTCTTTCAGATTTCTGTTTACAGTCATTTGTCATGTTGTTATTGGAAAAAACTGGTTTATTAACGCATCGATTTGCCAGTCATCTCTTGACTGCACTTTCATAATAGGAGCACGATGTTCTTTGCCCAGTTGGCTTTGAATCTTGGATGCAGATGCTGTTCTCCCACTAAAAAAAAAAAAAAAATGTTGGCTTGACACACAGGGCTTTCAAATCGTGACTTTTGCTTTAAATGAGAGTGACTTTGTGGAGATATCTCCATCGCACTCGATGGACGTGTATGTGGGTGTGTGAGGGACTGTAGCAATAACAGAAGAGTTTGGAGGGCGGTGGCTTTTGTTTAACACCTGTCTGACCTTTTGATTACATTTTTATTTGTAAAGCTAATAATAATAATAATTAATGTACCTGCTCTACTCTGCCATACACTTCAGAAAGGAAAGTTTAACAGTCGTAGCAAGAGGAACTAAGGAACTAATCCCATATATAAACATATGATAGATAGATAGATAGATAGATAGATACTTTATTTATTTATTTATACTGTACATATGCTTCTGTACATATGCATCTACACATATGTATTTACTTGCATATATACTCTGCCTTCCTCTTAAATATATACGTTTGTTTGTTATATATTTTGTACATACATACATTCTAAATTTACGTAGATTTCCCTGCATGATATAAAATTATTTTGTCTGTATGTTAAAGAAAAGCAAATGAATATGGCAGTGAAAATATATGTGCATTATGTGAAAGGCCCAGAATGAACTATGGCTTGCACATACAGTACATATTTAGCTGTATGGATCGATAGTCTTCTACATAGTTTATCAGGAAGAATCTAGCAGTATTACCATAAGCTTCATCAATCTAATCACTGGATTTAGCCAGTGTTATTAAATTACAACACCTCTCATTGTGTGAATTAATTAGTTAATCCCTGGCCCATGTATCTGCAAAGACGATCACTTAATTGAAATTAGCACTGAAGGTCAATTTTTTATCAAGGTAAATTTAATAGTTATTTATAATTTGATATTTAGCTGTAATAAATAACCGTACTCACATGGCATTTTGCACCGCTTTCTTTAAGAAGCCATCTACCGCCTGAAGTCATTTGTAATTTGCCTTTGTACAAGTACTTAATACTGAAATTATGCATACGAAATCCCTGCTGAAAAAGCCACGTCTTATCAGTTAATGGAAATAAATTTGTAGTTTCATAAAGACCATCCTCGCTTCATTTCAGAATTCAATAGACAATATACCAGTGTTGAGTTTCCAGAGAAAACTGGAAGGACAAATGGAAAATACTATCCGTTCATATATGAATGTGTGAATACAGACAAAAGACTAACTTCAGCTTGTCTTTCTTTGTGTTAACTAATTTGCAGATGCATGAAAAGCCAAATTGCTTCTTCATATTTCATAGTATCATCCGGCATTTCTTCTGTAGATTATCTGCTGAAAATCAATGAAGATATACGCAGCACTGCAGGTATTTCACCTTGTTTACAGTGCACTGTTTCCAAATGATGCCAAATTGCCATTTTCTCCTGTCTGTGATTTTACATAATGATCAGTGGTCGGTCTTCTGCTGAGCCAGTGGAAACGCAATAGTTCGTTGGCTGAGGTCAAAATTGAGGTCATCACTTTGTGCGTTCAGGTGTAACGTTAGATGCTTTTAAATCTAATCAAATCTGGGATTGGAACATCAGGATGCAGATGTATGGGAACAGGATTAAAGTGGGAAAGAGTTGGTGACCGGCTGGTGAACAGTAATTTAATATGTTATCCATTAACAATTTCAGAGAAGATGCGGAAATCAATGACGTTTCATCGCTGATCCTCAGGTGTTGTAAAGCAGTCACGCTGCAGTGTTAGTTGTTAGTGCACTCCTTTTAGCGCTCTTTGTTTTACAGAATGTAATGTTTTTAATGAGAGGGAAGAAAAGTACAATTTTAACTTTGTGACTACAACACATGCACATATGTACAGATATAAAAACAGACAACAGGAAATTTCCTCTTTTCATTTTCCACTAGAAGTTATTGATTGAATTTTACTGGAGAAACTGAAAGTATTACCCCAACAAATATTCATGTTACATGACTGTAGTTTCATTGTTTCAGTCTCCATCCATTCACTGATACATTTATCACTGTACTGATTGTTATTAATTTTACAAATTTATCCATCTTATAGACTTGCAGCTTAATCAATATTTAAGCGGAGACCACTCTTCAGGGCAAAAATGTGAATTTTAAAAGGAAAAATGAAAAAACTCAATGATTTGATGAAGTCATTTCGTACCTTATTCAACCGTTTTTGGTTTAGCTTTGCTTTATTGTACATAAAATTAAATTAAAACAGAAAAATGATAAAAACATATAACTGCTCAAGTGCATGGAACAAAGAAACCCAGAAAGCTTTCATCATCTCACACCAGGAGAAAAAGAAAAATAAACAAAAAAAAGATATTCAAGACATAGGCACGGGTGAGTTTGGCACAATAAACAAAAAAACTGCAACAAAGTTAATGAACCAGTAAAGCATCAAAAAAAAATAATACAAAAAGTTAATAATATAAATACATTATGTACATATCAGACAAAAAATATCTATATATACTTTTGTACACTCTGGTTGACAAAATGTAAAATGTAAGGGGATTCACGTTTAAAATAAAACTTAAAATACATTTTGAAAATATTATTTAGACAGAAAATAAATATACTTAGAACATAACCATTGTGAAATCAGCGGTTTTGTGGATTGTAAAGTGAAACAAATGCTTAAAAATGACAGTTTGGATCCATTTCGCAACCTTTTTAGTACAAATTGTTAATTAAAACACTATATTGGCTGTTACCCAATCAGTGCAGACAGAGTGTATGTTTGTGTTTGTGAGCTTTTACAGTACCAGAGCAACTATTTGAATGTTACCTGATTTTGTGATGGAAACTCAACAAGAGTCTGCTGCTATGCCAGTGGTTGTGTGAGGCTGCACACCTAATATCAGCATGCTAACATAGTCACAATAACAACATTATCATGTTCATGTTTAGCACGAATAATGTTTAACATGTTCATGATCTCAGCTTAGCATATTGGCATACCAATTTATTTATATATTTTTTTTATTGTTCTTATTTTATTTTTTATTATTTGGTCTTAAACCAAAGTGCTGGACAAATTAAAATTACATTACAGTTCATCCTGAGAGCAGATATTGAAAAGACCCATTAAGCAAAAGCTGCAAAAGTCAGGTCTGTATCAAAGTTACCGGAAAGTGATGTTATTAAAGGACCAGTAGGATTTAGTGACACCTAGTGGTGAGGTTGAAATCCGCACTCTCACAACTGAACACAAACACAAAAGACCCTTCCTTGGTTTGTCCGTTCAGGGCTACGGTAGAAACATGGTGGTGCAACATGGCGGGCTCTGTGGAAGAGGACCCACTCCCTCTGTAGATGTGAAGGGCTCATTCTGAGCAAACACAAACACAAATCTTAGTTTCAGGTGATTTTACACTAGTGAAAACATAATTATGAATATTATATTCCGCTAATTCCTACACATTTGTCCTTTAGCAGCATAGTGGAGCTATTCAATTATAAAGTCTTAAAATCAACCTGTATGATAATAATAACTATAATAATGAATTCTCTTTGTGGTAGAAAGTGTCCGCTACAATTTTTCAACATCAAAAAAAATGTGATACCTTGGTAATTGGTGTCTTACACTAATGGTGTTATTAACATTTCCCATAAACACCGTCACTTCTGTGCCTGCTGGCATCGACTTCATCATCAACCTCTCTCTCTCCCTCCACTCTCCGCCTTAGCCAGAAACTTTGAAATCATTTTGTGCATCAAGAACATCTCTCTTTTGTGTTTCACACCGTAAAAGCCGTTAGATTTCCCGTCAGATCTGATGTTTACAATGCAGTGCATTTCATTATTTAAGATTTAAATGCAAATTTCACCGTTAACTTTTAATACCAATGCCAATGTTGGACAATTATGAACTAAAAAAAAAATCATGTTTGACACACACACACACAAAAAAAAAGAAACTCGGACCATTCATCCCACTTATATTCTACTCATTTATCAAGCAATAGAAAGAACTAAATGTGTCCTTGCCTTTTTTTGAAGTGGCTGAGGTTGATGTGCAGCCAGAGAGAGTGACTTTAAATCCTTGTTAACACCAAAGTGCTGTGGGAGTACCAAAGAGAATGGCTGGAGGAAATATTTAATACGCGTGTTTCTTTAACTGCTAGGATTAGAGAATCACAGCGATGTCTGTGTCCTTGCCTGAGCAGTGACCATTCCCTCCCAGCACAGAATTCTGCCCGGAAACATCATCATTTCATGAATATTTGTCACCTGTTGCCCAGACGCTGTAACACTGACACCAAACTTTACATGGTCTCATCAATAGCTCACAATGCTTCGGCCGTCCTGTGGTGTCATCCGCCGTTATAAACAGGTCAAAGTCCGTTCTTCATTGTTTTTTGTGAAGGTGACAGCTTGAGCGATTCAGCTCGATGTCAAAATGGAGTGGTGCGGAAGGATATTTCCACCGTTGGCCTTTTGCCCTCATAAAAAATGTATATGCCCACTGGAATCAAAGATAGATATTTCATCTCGTTTCTCCGCGAGTAACCTTCTGATAACCCCGGGGCAGGGGCGAGGAATGTGACTTGTAGCTCCTTATTTTCTAGCTCCTAGAAAATAAGAAGATAAATGATAAACTTTTTTTTTTTCTTACAATATAACGCAGCGTGTCCTCCTGTCAGAGTTATTGACTTTTTCCTTGATGGCGATGATTCTAGATCATTCCAGCCAGCCAAGGAGGAAGAAAGAGTCCCACAGATCCCAGTATACACACCAGTACAAACATCCAGAGGAATATCCTGTCGATGACCATGGCCACATACTTCCAGTCCTCCTTCACCTAGCAGAGAGGAGAAACAGCAGAGAGGGACATTTCAAATTTCACACCACACCACCTTTCATTTTACCAGCTGTCACTTTTTACCCTTGATTGATTTCTCTCGAATGGCTGATTTTTTCATTATGAGGCAGCTATCTCCTAAATGTCAGTCAATCCCTGCTTGTTTCTCTTATGAAAAATTCAAGGTCAAATGACTGAGGTCCCATTGTTTCAAAGACAGGCTTTCTCCAGCTAGAGATAGATGGAGCATTGTAGTATTGACACTGACTGATGTCAGTGAATACAATAACTTCCACCACTTGTTTTAGAATAGTTGCACATATTTTTTAACTTCTCCTCCCATTGCAATAAGAAACCCTTTTTTTTTGCAGAGACAAAGAATCAGTGCTTAAACCGGTTTTGCTGCTTCGCAATTTCCCAATCAAATTACATTTTCACTGATAAAGCCGAGTTATGTCACCTTTGTACATGGTCAAAACTAAAGCGCAGCAGTATGACACACGAACAGGCAACATGAGGTAAACTGTCACTTGTCTTATGGCCATTTATTCTAGAAAATAATTTATCCATTAGCTGCCATTTATCACTTTGAGGGTTGCAGGGGGGGCTGAAGCCAATCCCAGCTGACACTGGGCGAGGGTGGGGTACAACCCTGGACAGGTCGCCAGTCACCAATTAACCTAACCTTCATGTTTTTGAACTGTGGGAATTTGAATTAATAACGTAAGCCATGACATGAATATAATTTTACCACTATCTTGTTATGCCTCATGTCTCCGGCTCGGCAACTTGTTTTCGGGTTGTCCATCTGTCCCATTCTCGTGGACACGATACCTCAGTAACGCCTCGACGTAACTTCTTCAATTTTGACACAAACATTCATTTGGACTAAAGGATGTATTGATTAGATTTTGGTGACTAAAGGTCAAAGGTCAAGGTCACAATGACCTTGCAAAACGTGATTTTGGCCTTGTGAACACAATATTTCAAGAACTCTTCGAGGGAATCCCTTCACATTTGGCACAAACATTCACTTGGACTCAAGGATGAATTTATTAGATTTTGGTGGTCAAAGGTCACGGTGAAGTCTGAGTGGTGGAGGTAGACAACCACGAGGCGGTAATTCTAGTTTTTGTTGTTGAAAGAGAAGAGTGACTTGTTACTTAAGCGTCTGATATACTTGCTGGCCCCAATCTGCCCGTAGAGGACTTTATAAAAACTTGAGGTTCACAAAAAGTATACAGGAAGATGTGTTTAAACAAATTCAAAATAACTTGATAAAAAAGATCCGAAATTCACAACCTGTGGAATGCCATAGTTAACCCACTATCCACACAAGCTCCAGGAGTTAACAACCCTGCCCATGATTCTTCCTTTTTGTCTTACCTGCTTTATGCCCATGAACAGGATCGAAACCTGGTCTGACACGTTCTGTTCGTTAGCTATGCTCTGCTGCCTCACTTGGGTAAAGCCCTTTGAATTTGAGTGAAACCGAAGCTAATGTTACGAGGCAGCCGTGTTTTACTCAGTTGTAAGTCGGATGGCTGTTGGATTAAAGGGCACAGCTTGTTGTGCTTGTACACTGAGAATTTTGAATTTGAACAGACAATTACTGAGCAAATATTCAATTTTTTCCCACATTCAAATGGTAGCTTGAATTTGGGATAAAAAAGAGACAGCCCCATTGGTCATTTGTGCTGAAAGGATTTTTTTGTATCCAGAAGTAGGGGAGACCAAGGATGGTTGTAACACGGGTCAGTTGTTACACTTCCAGTTTCTCCAATTTGGAGCAAGTTAAGAATCACCTTTATTCTTGTTATAGAATTTCCTGCTCTGTGGTTAAACTCTTCGAGCTTAAATCATGTTTATCGTGTGTCTATGTAGATGCTGTTCGCTTTAAGTTGAGCTAGTTCATGGCTATAAGAGTCTGGGTAAGTTGTAACAACAACACACACACATTACATTTTACATTTCGACCCCAGGATATGTTATAACTAACCCAGACTATAGGGTGAAATGTAACATTTAACTTCCAGCGTTTGAGACGCTACCATGCATTTTCTGTTTGTGTTGCAGAGATAACATCTACACCATTTAATAACAGACACTTGTAAATAGTTTGCGTTACATTTTGAACGCACTGGCTTAAAAGACCTCCAAGATACAGACAGAAATGTAAAAAATGTTATAACCATCCCCGGTCTCCCATACTGAATGGAATCTGAAAAAGCACACTGAGTAATGAGGCGCTCTGAGACTTTACTGGTTACTTGAAAAAAAACTCTGTCAACTCACTGAAAAGTCTGCATCCTCTGCCCGGAGATGATCAGCGATGTACTGAACTCCCTCGATGGCCCGTTGCATAGCTGGGGAAATGGTTGCAACCATGGTGTCCTGTTGTGTACTCGCATCTTTCATGGACTCTGCTGTGAAGGTTTCTGCTAGGTGATCTACAGGGGGTTGTTTCTTCACCCGCCCTGTGATCCCGATGAACCCGGGCCCTTCATCATGCAGACAGCAGTACTGGAAGCTGCGGGAGCGACAGCGATGCTCAGCTCTCTGAGGAAGCTCCTTCTGTTGGTCACACATTTGCTCTACACTGAGGGAGCGGCCATTCGGGGCCAGCGAATTTGGCTCGTCCCTTGACAGGCTGCGAAGTGGGCCCAGTGGCAAAGACGGGGGCAAGGACAACTGGGAACAAGACGAGGCCGCGGAGTTGTGTCCTCGTAGGGTTTGTTTGTCTGAGAGAACTGAATACTGACCGGATGTGGGCCGGCAGAAGATGTTGGCCTTTAGTTGGTGATCTCCCTGGGTGTGGTCCTCAAGAGGGGAGGATGGCGGAGAAGGTGAGCAAACAAGGATGCTTGGACTGTCGGACGGAGTCTTTGGGAGTGCATTCTCTACCTGTCTCAACTGTCTCAGTCCTGTCTCTAACCCTGCCCAGAAGGCCTGAGAGTTGCCTGTTGCCGATATCGTGGTCGGACGGTGCATCATCTCGATAAGCTTCTTGCAGTGCTGCTTTGCGGTGCCTGGCGGACGCTTCATGAAGAGGACTCGAGGCACCCAGTCCAAGAATACCCTCCGCACCCAGTGAGGCATGCCATGGGTTTGTGGCGAGCGGTGATGCACGTTTAACACGAAGACTGTAATTATGATAGAGAGCGTAACAAAGACCATGGTGAACAGTAGGTATTCGCCGATCAGTGGAATCACCAGAGACGTAGACGGTATGATCTCTGTGATCAGCAGGAGGAACACGGTTAGGGACAGTAACACTGAGATACACAAGGTAATCTTCTCTCCACATTGTGACGGCAAATAAAACACCAGCACAGTCAAACAGGAGATGAGCAGACAAGGGATGATGAGGTTAATAGTGTAGAACAACGGAAGCCTCCGGATGATGAAGTAGTAAGTGATGTCTGCATAGATCTCTGTGCAGCACTCGTACTTCTTGGTATTGTACTTGCCCACTGCGTTCATGATAACCCACTCGCCGCTCTCCCAGTAGTCCATCTGGTCCACGTCACTGTCCATGCTTATCAGATCGATCTTGGCACGGTCATAGGTCCACGAGCCGAACTTCATCTTGCAGCTTTGCTGGTCAAAAGGGAAAAAGGTAACATCTATGCTGCACGAAGACTTATAAATCGCTGGTGGCATCCACTTTATCCGACCGTTGTGGAACAGGTGCGCCTTTGTAAGGTGAGTCACCGCGAAGTCGCCGTCGGCACTGCAGATGAGGAATAGGACATGAAAGGGGGAGAAAGGTGGAAACACATTAATCGTTTATACTTTACATTTTTGCCTTCATCAAAAGTTTAAGACTTTATTTCTGGGAAATTTCTCAAAGCAATGAATCTATTTAGATTGAATGAGGTCCATTTCCTAGTTTTTTCCTGGAGCTTCCATCTCACAGTTGTCCTAAGTTTTCTCTATTGCCATACGTGTTTTCTTGGAGGTAGCGGGTTGGTCGTGATTGTCGCTTCAGTTATTGTTGTGTTTACAAGACAAAAGGTTATTATATGTCCTCTGAGCAGCGCTACATCCTCAAGGCAGATTGGAGGCTACAGTGAGTCAGTATCCGAAAGTGACAAGATGGGCTAACTAGCTAGCTAGTTAGTGCACTAACTTCAGTAGAAGAAAAGACGAGATAGAGACAGGGGTTAACATTGGCGTTGCTCTCCACTGCTGAAGTTTGATGCTGAACAACCTAAGATCGTTTCCTCCAGACTGGTAAGTACACAGCTGCTAATGCTAACATTAGCTATGTAGCAATAGCAAAACGTACAAATAGGCTACCTTTAAGATTAGTGCAATAAACAGTTATCATTTCACCCAAGGTCATTGAGGAACTACAAGCCATAAATTAAAGTGGTATTTTTATTTGAATGATCAGTTGACCAACATAAAAATTCAGATTTTTTTATATAGTGTTAAAAGTGCAAACAAAATGATGCTTCACTTATGTTCTTTCAAAAAAAAGAACTATTTAAACAAAATAACTCGTTTGGGAATTATTTACTGATTCTAATTTTTGTTCTCTTCCCTCTGTCATTCCCCCTCTACTCGTATTAGCTCAAATTCTTCTAAGAAGCTTTATTTGTTAATGTACGTATGCCGACGACACTCACATTTATCTGTATCACCAAGCAAAAACTAAATGATTGGGTGCATTCCCTATGAAGAAATAATGATAAAGCCAAAGTAACTGTTTTTGGTGCCACAGAAGAAACACTGGAAGTCAGTGCTCTAATCCAGCAGTGACAGCCTCCTCTGTCTCTCTCCTTCCTCCTCTGTCTCTACTTGATCTGATTAATCTCTGTTGTGCGTACCAAACCTCTCACATCATTCCAGCACTGTCATTACACACCTGAGCACCACTCATTACTTCCTGCCTCAGCCTCATCATCTGACCCAGTCGCCTGCCCACCTATAGTTGCAATTAGCCTCAGTACATGCAGAGAATATCTATCAGTCACTCTGTGGTGGATCATGTGACTTCATTCTGCTCTGCCTGTATCTGTCTGTCTGACATATTCCTCTGGATTCCTTTCTAATCATTAAATGTAAGCCTGTTTTGAAGACCACTGAAGGGAGACATACATCACTTGGCATCACAGCCAATGCAGTTGCCCTTTAGTCTGATCCCTAAATCTTAGCGTAGTCATAGATACAGATGTAAATTTTAACCACTACATCAAAACAAAGTCAGAATCACCATCTCAACGATCTTCATATCCAAATAAGAAGCCTTGCCTAAAAGTTTGACTATTTAGAAAAAAAAAACTCTTTACAGACTTCAGCTCATTCAGAAGTCTACTGCTCAAGTCTTTACAAAGTCGAAGCCAGCTGAGCATATCACTTCACCTCTCAAATCTCTGCTCCCAGTCTGTCAAAGAATCGATTTTAAAGTCCAGCTACTCTTTTTTTTTTTTTTTTTTTAAATCAGAAAGTGGGTTAGGATCAGAAAACTTTATTTACTTTAAGTAATTTTGTTGTTTTAGTCTCAGTGTCTTATGTCGACACCTTTTGTCGACACCCCAGTTAATGAAATGTGCTTGACAAATGAAATTACCACGACATGCCTTGACGTCTGAGTTCCCACAAATAAATGACTGAGAGAAAGCACGATCATGTCTGTGTAACGATGTGTGAATTCTTTCTCGCCCGTTTCTGATATGGTTTCTCAGTATTTGCCAATTTCCCCTTGTCTAGAGTGAAATAAACACACATCTACTTGAGTCACTCGCACTGGATGTGTTTTATCTGAGGCCCTTTGAAACACGTCCAGTTACATTTCATCTTCTAATGTATTGCTTTGTATGGGGTACCAAGCTTTGTTTGTAAGCGGATCCATTAAGGCTGACCTTGTTCACATTTATTTCAGCTGAATTACATTACGACATTGGCACAGGACAAAATTTGGCATAACGGCAGAATCTTCATGTTTTCTCTCCAGCCATACCATCTGTTGGAATTAGATCATCACAATCTGAACATTAATTGCCGTATGATTTCTTTTTTTTTTTTACGCCTTGATAATGGCTACAACTAAAATCTCAGCAACCGCTTTGTGCAACATGAAAACATTATACAAATCCTCACTTGTTGTAGAGGACAATGTCAGGCCTCCAGATGATCTCTGAGGGGATACGGATGGAGGTGACATTTTCGTATTCCTCCGGGTTCCAGCGGAGTTTGTAATCGTTCCATTCCTGTAGGAGAACATTATTCGTATTTACATACTGCACCTTTATATTGGACTGTATCTTTAGTATGTGTTTTGTCTCTCATCACTACATACTTGCTTGACCCAGACATTTGTAGTCATCATCTGGTTCTTCTCATCCTTATTTCATGTAAACAGAAGAGAAAATTATTCCGATATTTACCATTATTTCTTTGAACATCTCTTTTTCTAGTGATTTATTTTTTGCAAAGTTGCCATGTGCACTCATGAATAAGTTATAAAACAAATCAATATACATACCCAGTATTTTTTTTAAGACTTCATGCAAAAAAAACAAAACAAACACCCTCACTGTATCTGTATCTGTTGCTTTGTTGGCAAGCTGCTCTTCCTCCAGCAACATCTAAGACACAGCAGTCAGTAAAGAAACACACTCTGTAGGAGAGGGCAACTTCGCCCAGAGCTGACTCTCCCTACCAGGCATGTGAGGCGAGCGCAGTTACCTAATTGTGTGTCAAAAACCTGGAGAATCATCCCTGCAGCAACATATTCAGTCTTAAAGCGGCACTCTGCGACGTTTGCTTGGCTCCAAATGGCAGTTGGAGGTGTTTCAACTTTAGTCCACAGAAACCCTGCAACGTAAAACTCCAGACGTGCTTAAAAACTCCAATCTCCAGACAGTCTGTTGAGACCAGCTGTGTCTGGTTTGCTTTTTTTTTAGGAGACACTTTTGAATATTTACTGCCGGTGTTAGGATACTTGACACCTGAATTTAATTTGGGAAAATAATTCAATCTCTCCTGTTGTGGTTTCATTTCCGCTGATAAGTGATCTGTATATCTAAATGTATCTCTCTTGTCTGGTGTTGGCTTTGAGCTGGCTGATATTGTGAATATAATGAATGTAATACGTATAACAAAAAGGGCACAACTGAAGATGTATCATTTACACCTCGAGCCAGCACAACTTAACAATAAATCAACCCTTTAAGAAAGATGTTCAGTGTGTCTGTTGTTGGTGAAACTTGACAAGGCTGTGAGGTTTTACTCACCACGTCAATAAGCTGGGCAATAGACAGTCCGAAGTGGACGAGCACTGTGTCTGAGGTGTTTTCCACGGGCCGGGAGAGCTTATTGTAATGTACAAACAGATCCTGGAGCAGCCTCTCTTCAGCATGGGCGCGAGGTCTGACTTGGTAACAAACTGAGAAAGAAATAAGGAATTAGACACAAATTAGGAAAGCGTAGCCTTTTATAGCCCCTTATATCAACTGTCTTAGTTCTGCAAACTTTGCAGTGACCGTCTTTATCCTTATAACCAGCCTTTCTTTTGCGCATGTACACTATGAAATAGTAAATATAATTTCAAATGCATAATATTGAATATATTTTTCCACCATCTACAATACACTCATCTAAATCGGATTTAGCTGATGCCGCCGTAAAGAATCCACCGCTGTAGATACACAGTGTAATCTAAAGGAAGGGTGACCTCTATTATACAGGTGGCGTACGGTTACATGAGACTGTATCTGAGAGATGAGACGAGCGGGGAAAGGAGGGAGGGAGGGAGGAGGGGAGGAGAGTGGGGGGGCAGGCGATGAGAGAAGGAGGAAAAAAAAAGAGGAAGGATGAATCTGAATCTGAGGACATCCGTTGTGTCTCGGAACAGACGTGCTGATGGAGCGATCCATCGAGACGTCTCATCCCTCCCTCATCCCCCTCCCCAAACCCTCTTACCCTCTCTGCCACAGCCGCTCTGATGGAGCATCTCCATCCCTTCACCACCACCACCACCACCACCCCCCCCTTTTTAGAATCAGCTCACATAGCACTGAGGATGACCTAACGAGGTCCGGGAACAATTAAAGAGACGGGGATCGTCCCGAGGCCTGTACAGTACAATGTCCTTTGTATTCCAGCCCTCTTTCCATATTCACTTAGGCTTTTCTCTGTTCTGGACACTCTGTCTCTGTTCAGGTAATTCAGTGGCACAGCAATACATCAAAGGCTGTGATTTATTTAACCAACCTAACTGATATTTCATTATGCCTGGCACTCCTGCATATCTCAATGTCTTTCTTGAATGTGGAGCATTGTATTGTTTATTATTATTTCTATTATTTATTGTACAAAAGATTTTAAATAGCTACAGGAGCTAGAGGGCGTTTGTTTATTACCTCATTATAACACGAGCAAATTGGTTGCGCAGGAAGTTTGAAATAATTATTTTGTTATATGTCCAGGGTGTACCTCACCTTCTCACCCAGTGTGAATAACAACCCTGAAAGGATAAGTGGGATAATGGATGGATGGATGTTTCAGGATTGCTGCTGCTGATATCCGTCTATCCATCTATGCTCTGCTGTTTTAACGTGAATTCTTAAAATAGGGACGCAGGTGTTGTTGTCATGCTGCTGGCCTTCCTCTCAGGTCCTCTTTACCCACTCAATCCAAGCTGATGGGCCGTCCTTCAGCTGCCTGAAAACTGGCATCCACAATTTTTAAAGGTTTGGGATCAATATCTTATTAAATGGATATAGTTTCTTCTTTTTTTTTTCCACTGTCCTCCTGCGTCCTCTCTTCCTGTTTTCCACCTGAGTCTGTTTGACTTGTCCAGACGTCCGACAACCTTGAAATGTCTCTACGTTTTACAGATGGGAGGAACTGACACAGGTACCTTTGTTTCATCACATCAGCTCAGAGCGGTATCTGTTGAGTGCAGGTGATATTGAATAAAGAGGGATGCTCCGGCAGATTCTCAAGAAGCCTGGAAACTAATGGGTTTAGATGCAGGAGCTCGCAGGATATCCTGACATTGACAGTGTGAGGGTCGGAGCAGTAATGTGTGTGTGCAGGAGAAAGTATAACTGTTGGACGAGTTCACTTCTGTTTGGTGTGCTTTACAAGGCGCCGTGAATAGCAACGGTGCAGACTGTGGTGTTACTCTCACAATGGAGAACATTCACTTTTCAGATAGAAACTTTATTATTACTTTATTATTACCCCCCAGTTCCCCCCAGTTATCCAGTTCCTCCTCACTTAAATCATACCATTTCGTCATTCATGTAAATCCAGTGGAAAAATGATGCCAAATATCAGTTCTAGTAATGTGTTTTTGCAGGTAGTAAAGCACAACGCACAACAGTTTCATCCTGGTTAGTATCAGAGCTAGTGGACCCAGTTCTGTCCTCATTTGATCAATGCACTCTCATAAGCCGGTAATGTATGAGCAGCAAATATCACCTCTTTTTTTTTTTTTCATTCCAGTGAACGTTGCTCGAGAACTGGACAAAGCTTGTTACCAGGTCTCTAAGCAACCGAGGCAGTTATTCAATGAAAGTACGGAAGTTTTCCTCTGTGTGTGTGTGTGTGTGTGTGTGTGTGTGTGTGTGTGTGTGTCCTGCTGAAGGTTGTGTGTTTTTGTCATTGATTGTATTACTAGTCTTGTCAGATTTGCTTTCAGTAAAATATCTTTGCCTTTCTAATGAGTAATGGGACAAGAGCGTCACCAGGGACTGTACAGAAATCATCATATTTCAGAATCATATTTTACTTTACACCCTTTAACTGTCTTTTTAATATTTTCTCATTTTCTTTGGACCCTTCTGCACACAAAAACTGCAAAACCCTCCCAGCCAAATACTCAAAATAATAAATTTATGGCATAACAACATAGTGAAAATACAATCATTCATTTTCTAAGTGAAGAGTGAAGGCACCAACTCTGTTTGTGAGTTGAACACTGTGTATTTTCACCTCAGAATGAATTTTAAAAAATACAATCTGAGTTGTTAAAAGTTGAAACAACCTCCACACCCTGCTCTGCAAAAAAGCAAGAAAAAAAAAAGACAAATACATTCCCCTCCACTTTTCCTGATCTCCTAATCTAATCATTTTCACACAGTCCCTCACGTTGATTTAAAAAAACAGAAAACAAGAGAGGTAACAGACGAGAAGGAAAGTGATTTACCTTGTGGAGGGAGAGTGAAGAAAAGTAAGCTCAGACATTTGTACATATCCATAGTGCCTCCAGTAGGATCCAACTCTACGAGTGGACTCCTCCCCCCCTCCAACTTCTGCTGGACTTCAGACCTGATGGTCAGTCATCCCCAGAGCTGTAAATTCTGCCCTGTAACAAGCAACTCTTCAGGAGGTTCAGTTCAGGTGAAAGCAGCCAGATGGCGAGGTCGTGTCAGTCCGTGTCAGCCCTGGCCCGGCGTTCCCCTCGGACCCATCCGTCCATCTCTCTTCACTTCCTGTCCTGTGTCAGCGCGAAGGACCTCAGACCTGTGCTCCAGTTTTTCCCTCATCCAACACTTGAAAGTCCCTCCTCACTCCACTGGAGTCCTTCATCCAAGTGTGGCTTATCCCTCTCTTCTCCACCCTCCCTGTCTACATTACTCCCTCCCTCGCCTCTCATCTCTCCGCCTCCTCACCTCATCTCCCTCTCCCTCTCCCTCTCTCTCTCTCTCTCTCTCTCTCTCTCTCACGCACATACACACCTCATTTCTCTCTTTCCCTCCCACTTATTTTCTTTTCACCCTGTTCCAGTTTTCTGTCTCTCCCTCACTTCTAAACATGAAAAACTGTGAACTTTTTTGTCAGTCTCTGTGTGTGTGTGTGTGTGTGTGTGTGTGTGTGTGTGTGTGTGTGTGTGTGTGTGTGTGTGACGGTGAGAGGGAGGAAGGGAAAGAGAGAGAATGTATCTGATGAGATTTCCTCCCCAGTATATACAGTATACATGAGCAGTGCTGTGTGTGTTTGTGAGTGTGTGTTTTTACATTTGAATCTGTATGGAAACTGTGTAACATACAGCAATGTGTGCAGTGTATGTGTGTGCAGTGTATGTGTGTGTGTGCAGTGTGTGTGTGTGTGTGTGTGTGTGTGTGTGTGTGCAGTGTGTGTGTGTGTGTAGATGTCTGTCAAAGTCCAGTCTGGTAGAAGTGCCAGTGAGTCATTGGACCCCTGGATACTCTTCAATCTCCTGCATGCCCTGTCTCCCAGGAGCACATCCTCTCCAATTCACCCATCCCTTCGTCTTACCCCCTCTTCCCTCTTCTCTTTTTAAACACCTCTGACCCTCATCTGCTGTCTTTTTTTTTTCTCCATGCAATGTCTTACACACAGACAGAGTTTTCTCTTTCTTCGCATCCTCCCTGAGCTTCGCTGCCCGTCTCCTTTACAGTGTTTGTACGTCAGCGGAGTTCGGTGCCAAGGCTGGCCATCTATTGAGACAGCTGCATTTGCTTGAGGTGTGTTTACTGTTGTTGTACATCTTTCTTTATTTTCCCCCAGCAATGCCCACATGTCATGTTTTGATGACATAAAGATAGAGAGAATAACCAGAGACACTTAAAAAAGCCTTGACTTAACAGTCATGTTTACTTGCGATTGGCTGAGGCAGAAGCTGCGTTTGACTTTCTGACAGTTCTTTTGGACTGTGTTACATGATAGATTGCGGAAAAAAGAGGTCCAGGCGTAGATATATTTTGCTGCTGTAGATGTCTTTGTCAGATATGATTCTTTTCAATACACCATGAGCCCACAGAGAAAAAGCCTCCGCAGTGCACGCATTGATTTTTTCTAATCAAAGACAGGGCGCTCTTGATCCGGCGATGACTAACACCGACGTGACAGATGAAGAGATTCCTCTCACCAGTGTGCCACCACAAGTGCAGATGTACGTCCTTACCATCAGAGGATTGATAGATGATTATTTAGATTGGACTGCTGACAGGAGTCCAGCAGGAATTAGTAAGTGGGACAGTGCAGCAGCAGCGGGGGGGGGGGGGGTTCACTTTCAGGAAAAGGGCAGGGTGCACAAATAGGCCAATTGCAGCCTGGTGGATGACATATACATTAGTTTATCTCACACCCACATACGGGCGTACTGTATATAGTCTCCCTCAGCTGATGAGACGGACCATCTGTGCATTCTCGCTTTTCCAATAGCAAGGGAGTGAGGGCGGTGTTCGCCTCCTGCAGCAGCCTCCTTAATAATTCAACTTGTCCTCACGTTGGAAAGGCTTTGGTGATCCCCAGACGGACACTTTGACCTCTGCTTCAGATGGTCGCAGCCTAAAAACACTCGCTGACCCTCTGAGGCGATGTTTTATAAGCAGTTAGGGACCTGCGTTTTTCAATCCTGTGCACGATAGGTTGGCTACAAAGGATAATCAAAATTGTAAAGCATTCACTGAGCTCCTGCGCAATTAATATCTGGCGCCAAAAATAAAGCATGAGCTGTGCAGCGTCTTGGCATTTCACAGCCCTTCAGATTCGACTAGCTAGTTTGTATTAATGTGAGTTTTGTCGATGTCATCACTTTGGCTCAGAGTTTTCCTCTAAAACCAACTATGCATTTGATTTTTTTTTTTTTTTTTTTTTTGTTTAGGACACAACTTGACTTTGTATTTGCAAAACAATGATGTGGTCCTCTCTTCTGCAACTTTATCATTATTAATCATTTATCATACTTATTGTTAATATGACTTTGCTGATAAAATGTAAAGTAGCATTCAATTTGGTGAAGAATACATATTGAAAACTATAATTTTAAGACTTAAAAAACCCACTTTGGGACTTCGACAAGACTTAATAGTTAGTTGTCAGTGTCCCATTGTGGGTTTTATTGATGCTGGTTTCCCCAGAGTCAGCTGATGATCCAACGTCAAGATGAATCCATATTGTTGCCGTGAAAAGTTTCATATTAAAGTTTAAAACACTTACTTTATTTTATTTTAATGTTTGCTGTCAATCTTATAAAAGTGTTGTACCTCAGGCCGTGTCGTATAAAAATGTAATCCACAGCTTTCATCAACATTTCATCTCAAGTCCACACGAGGTTTAAAACAGAAGTTATCTTCACCAAAGATTATTTTCCAAAACGTGGACAATAAAGTTCCTATCTACCTAATTAGCACAATGCAATGAAAACAGTGATGACGATGTCTTTTCACAGTATTAAGCCCCAGAACTTTACAGTTGTTTTTCTCCGAATAGATGAAATTGCTGTAACAAAAATTTCAATTTCATTCATTGGATGTTAATGAGACCTAATGAGAGACTGTGTGATAAAATAACAGGTTTCACTGCTAATCCTCAAGTCTGATGTATTTTCCCCTCTGTACATTTGCACTGAAGTTTTGTTTCAATGATAACCTCAATAATAATAATAACAACCTCAAAAAAATGCAATATTTTTTAACACAGTGTCTCCTGTAGTTGACTTTAGTCTTAATATTTTGATGTACAGAGTCTTTTTGTGAATGAACCAGGATTTTACTTGGTGCAGTTTCTCACTGTTTATACCAGCGTTTTAGCCGCAGGAGTTCTGTGCCTACCCGAGCCGCAGAGTTGCTCTAACTGCAACCCACCAATTACTTTTCTTTTTTAAAAAAAAAAAAAAACAGCCCAAACAAACCAACAACTTCCACTACACATGGCCATTAACAGTGATATAAGATAGCATAGCCCTGTTAGCAGGGATACATACATGTATCTGACAACAATAACAGCGGGAGTGCGAGCTATAGATTTAACTTTAATCAGATAACTGTCAGAGGTCATGAGGGAATTGAATCATACATGTGAATAATAGCATTATTGATGGGCTCCCAAAAACCCAGTGAAGCATCTGTAGTATTGATCAGCTCACAGTGTGTTCCCACTGAAGCCGTCCTCTGTGAGGAGAGCTCCCTGGAACAGCCCCGGGGATCTGAGATCAGCAGGTCGGCTCGCTCTCAACAGCGCATGTTTTGCCTTAGTGATTCACACACCTTCTTTTGTTACGCTCACTCTAACATGCATCCACCTTCACACACACACACACACAAAGCCCACGCAGAAACAGGGATTCATCCCATGCATGCATAAACACCTAGCCTACTAGGGTTGCCAGTATCACCTGTCAATCATGACTACTGCCTCTTAAAAGAAGAGACAAAAACTCCTCTGCACCTTTCATGGAATATCTCGAACAGGTTTCACGGATGCGTCTCTGCGAATGCCTTGTACGGATATGAACCAAAGGGTAGTTTTACAAGGTTTAAATAATAATAGTGTTGTTGCCTTTGCTGTCACATTGTCTTCTTTTTTTTTTTGTCAGGTTTGCTTTCAGAACAGAGTCAAATTGGATCAAACTCGCACCTTGAAGCAGTGGATGGAGGTTGAAGCCGTGCTGGGTGCTGTGGGCGAAGGCAAATGTTGACATAGACAGATGCCAACCATGAGCCCACCTGCAACAGCCCAGGGGTGAGCTGCGATGGCCACTGATCAGGTAACAACAGAGATGGGGCACCTGCAGCATCTGTGGGAGGTGAACACCATCTGTTAGCCATATACACACAACCATAACAAACTATCACAGTACCATCTCTGTTGTTTTCTTTAGAAAGGAATACATAAATTAATGTTGTTTTCTTTTTATACTATGAGACAGCGATGACAATTCAATGACGTTCTTTCACACCGGCTGACGCCAGATGATGGTATCACTGCTGTCTGAGATCAATATCATTTTGATTACAGTGAGAATCAATAGGCACAAAGGCCATTAAACCATTAAATGATGTCCAGGAACAAAAGTAGCGATGCCTTCATGTGTCATTTTCCATCACCGTTAATTGATCGATCATCAATTAACGACAGACCCATTAGAACTACATTATAATGCTGTTCATTGATGTCTCAAGTTAGTGAAAGTAATGACAGCTACACTTGCTGCAGAATATCGCAGTGTCAGTGTTGGGGCACCTCACATTAGAGAATATTACTGGGGGAAGAAGACATTTAATTTATACGACAATACATTGATGTTTTCATATGGAGTGGAAATACATTTCTTTATCACACAAAAAAAACTGTTGTTTCTCATCAGTTGCCAAATCGTGATTGACAAATAGAATATAAACTAGAAAATAATAAACTTGAGGGGGAGTATTTCTTTTTTTTTAATGTCGCCAACTGTACCTTTTGTGCCACTCAAAATATCACTCAAAATAATCAAATATACCTGGCAATT